AAAATGTTCTCTGAATATTTATTGAATATCACATTGCAAACTTTTGACGACAGCTCTTGAAGTTTTGGTGGTGATCTTCATCAGTTGTATTTAGAGATGCCATAGACTAAACTTGCATCTTTCTGCATGTGATGTAGTGATGTTTAGGTAATTCAAAATATTTCTCTTGGATCTTGGCTATCTTAAATGTCTGTGCATAAATAATGCTTCCTGGCTATTGAATTGCCATTTAATAAATGTGATAAAGTTACCAATATACCTGATACGTATTTATTGTTTCTGAATTTTATTTTCAGATTTCAATCTTGTAATGTTTAGAAAAATCAGCTTCTGAAATTTATTTTTATTTCTTGGAACATTACAGTGAACTTTGACTGAGGGCACTATATATTTATTGTGCTATGCAGCAGGTGCTATGCCTTTTTGGCAGGGTGTCAATCAAGCTTTGCAAACCATGCTGACTTTGGCTACTGGGAAACATAGCTGTTGACTTCAACATAGCTGCAGATTCTTTTTTTACTGTGGAGCACTAGCATTTTCCTCCTTTTCCTTCTTATTCATCCATTAACGTTGTTTTCTTACTTATCTAGTAAACTGGAGGAACCCAAGCTTCAATATTTTATGTTATACTTTTATATTTTATTTGTAGGTTTTTAAGAAACTGCAAATATGAGTCGACGTGGCTATTAACATGTGGTTGTTTGGGTCTAAACCACTTCTCTCTGGTAAACCATGTTGTGCAATGTAGGTTGCAAATTTTAAGAGAAGATTTACTTCACTCCCTTCTACTTAAAGATAGTCCCGGAAAAATTGTGTTTGTAGATATTCTGTCTCTGTGTTCCTTTTACATCTCACTTCTGCAGACTCATGGGGGAGTGGGGTGATAGCAATATTAATAGCAGTTAGACTTATATACCGCTTCATAGGGCTTTCAGCCCTCTCTAAGCGGTTTACAGAGTCAGCACATTGCCTCCACAGTCTGGGTCCTCATTTCACCCACCTCGGAAGGATGGAAGGCTGAGTCAACCTTGAGCCGGTGAGATTTGAACCACTGAACTGCAGATAACAGTCAGCTGAAGTGGCCTGCAGTACTGCACCCTAATCACTGCGCCACCTCGGCTCTATATGTGATGGTGGAGTGGGGGTTGGCATTTAAAAATGGGAAAACAAGGTTGGCATAGGAAAATAATAGCTTGTTGGTCGTAAGTGGAAAGATTTAAAAATGGCCAGCATGTTAAGGTGAGTCCAGTGGAGTAGCTCACTTCTCCAGTCATCCCATGCAAACAGAGTCATAACTTTTTTTAAAACTCTAGTAGGTTACATTGGCTCTGTAATTAAATGATGTGAGAATGTTTTTGCTGTACTGCCTTTGTCTGTTTAAAAGTATTCTAGTGACAGGCAAAGGATATCCATCTGAAGTAACCTACATAGTTTATGAACAAACCACAGTTGTCTCTCTGTTATATAAAAACTCCTTGCCAGGAGAGGTACAGTGGTAGAGTTAAAGAAGTATTCTGTTGTAGCAAACTATCTAATTATTTGGAAATATGTCCTCTCAAAAATAACTCTTATTAAGGCAAATTATTACTAAGCATTATTTATTTATTTATTTTTTTATTTATTTATTTATTTATTTATTTCCAAGGATAGCAGGGGTCTGAACTAGCAAGTTCAAACCTCATGGGAGAAAGCAGGGGCAAATCTCAGATATAAGTGATTCTTTCTAGCCATAACTATTTTAGTTCTATGAGTGTGCTTTATATATATATATATATATATATATATATATATATATATATATATA